TTATACCATTGTTCTGAATAACAAAAATGTGGTTAATTATGTCCCTATTACATTGTAAATCTATAATTTTGAAGCCCAACCACTAATAAATGGACAGTGGTTTATGTTTTGCAGGCATCTAACTGTACCCAAAGGCTTTCTCTCTTTCTTATAATTGTCAGATTTTTTGTGGTCCCTAAAACTAGTAGCTCTCTGGCATTTTTGTTTTGAGGAAAAAGGTTGGACACTCCTGCTTTATAGTCTATCTGTAGCCAGCGGGCAGCTCTAATAAGATAAGATAAGATATGCCTTTATTAGTCCCACAGTGGGGAAATTCCAGTGTTGCAACGCACAATTTCAAAGGTAACACAGAATAATAATAATAATAGCTTAAAAATAATTGACTTAAAAATAATTGCACATGGTTATGATTGACTGGTACATGTTCAGTGTTAGCAGTGTTTGTACATATTGTGATGATCTCACGGGCCAAATTTGGTCCCTGGGCCTGAGTTTGACGTGTCTGTTCTAGATCAACAACAGTAGTTTTAGCCAATTTCCCGTAACCAAACATGCCTCCCAAGATTGGAACTTCGAACTATTTTACTAACTGCATGTGTTCCCATTTTCCGATTTTTTTGTTTTTGTTTCCATTACTTCATTTTTCAGACTGATCCTTCCATCTCCGTTCTTCAGTTTGTGCTTTTGCCGTTGTATGATGTCGGAGAAGTGAATGACATGTCACAGAAAACCCAAAGTGCAGTCACCACTCTGCATTAAGCTTTCATTTTAAGAGCGTAAGAGTCGATTTTTGTTGCCAGGAAGACTTTAAAATGTTTTGATACTTTTAAAATTGTGTTATATTTGTGCCTTTTACTCTTTCTGTCTGTCTACGGAAGAACTACATTTTCATTTGTAGTATTTCACGTAGACCTAATGAACCTAATCTGACTCGTAGTAGTCCATGGAGGATACTAGTATGTTACTGTGTAATGCCATACTGCAGAATTTTCTTGGCCAAGTAATGCCAGTCGACTAAAGTTACACCTTTATATCCTCGATCGACAACGGAAGTTTTATCTTGCCACTTCGCCAATTCTCTTTCCATTGTATCTACGAAATAACTACTAACTGCCTGTGTTCCCATTTCCACATTTTAATTAAGGGGACAGTCCGGAATTTTGGACATAGGACCTCGTTTCATTAAAATATTGCGTCCGGTCCTTGTATTTGCAGAGGTCGCTGGTGCTAGACTAGCGCATGACACCGGCCTGCCACGAAAAACACCCGAAGCAAATCTATTATTACGCCACACAGTCGATGTGAATGTGATTTGCGACATCGTCATCATCTGTACCGGTTCTTTCTCCTGCGGTCACACGACGGTCTACGCGTCCCGACACTCAGGCCTGGTTCAGTCCTGGTTTAGTCCTGGTTTAGTCATGTTTTAGTCATGTTTTAGTCCTGGTTTAGTTCTGTTTTAGTCATGTTTTAGTCCTGGTTTAGTCCTGATTTAGTTCGAGTCCTGGTTTAGTCCTGTTTAGTCCTGGTTTAGTCCTGGTTTAGTTCGATTTTAGTCCTGGTTTAGTCCTGGGTTTAGTCCTGATTTAGTTCGATTTTAGTCCTGGTTTAGTCCTGGTTTAGTCCTGATTTAGTTCTGTTTTAGTCCTGGTTTAGTCCTGGTTTAGTCCTGGTTTTAGTCCTGGTTTAGTCCTGATTTAGTTCTGTTTTAGTCCTGGTTTAGTCCTGGTTTAGTTCGATTTTAGTCCTGGTTTAGTTCGATTTTAGTCCTGGTTTAGTCCTGGTTTAGTCCTGATTTTTAGTCCTGGTTTAGTCCTGTTTTAGTCCTGGTTTAGTCCTGGTTTAGTCCTGGTTCAGTCCTGGTTTAGTCCTGTTTTAGTCCTGTTTTAGTCTTGGTTTAGTCCTGGTTTAGTTCTGTTTTAGTCACATTTAGTCCTGGTTCAGTCCTGGTTTAGTCCTGATTTAGTTCGATTTTAGTCCTAGTTTAGTCCTGGTTCAGTCCTGGCTCAGTCCTTGTTTAGTCCTGGTTTAGTCCTGGTTTAGTCCTGGTTCAGTCCTGGTTTAATCCTGGTTCAGTCCTGGTTTAGTCCTGGTTTAGTCCTGGTTCAGTCCTCATGGTTTAGTCCTGTTCAGTCTTGATTTAGTTCGATTTTAGTCCTGGTTTAGTCCTGGTTTAGTCCTCTTGGTTCAGTCCTGGTTTAGTCCTGGTTTAATCCTGGTTTAGTCCTGGTTTAGTCCTGGTTTAGTCATTTTTAGTCCTGGTTCAGTCCTGGTTCAGTCCTGGTTTCAGTCCTAGTTTAGTCCTGGTTTAGTCCTGGTTTAGTCATCCTGGTTCAGTCCTGGTTCAGTCCTGGTTCCTGGTTTAGTCCTGGTTTAGTCCTTGGTTTAGTCCTGGTTTTAGTCCTGGTTTAGTCCTTGTTTTAGTCCTGGTTTAGTCCTGGTTCAGTCCTGGTTCAGTCCTGGTTCAGTCCTGGTTAGTCCTGGTTTAGTCCTGGTTTAGTCCTGGTTTAGTCCTGGTTCAGTGGTTTAGTCCTGGTTCAGTCCTGAGTCCTTAGTTCGATTTTAGTCCTGGTTTAGTCCTAGTTTAGTCCTGGTTTAGTCCTGGTTTAGTCCTGGTTTAGTCTGGTTCTTAGTCCTGGTTCAGTCCACACGTCTCCAACACTCTGACTCACTTGGAAACGAGGCCCTACGTCCAAAACTCCGGACTGTCCCTTTAATTTATCTTGTCTTCTGTTCTTCTCCCATTGTTCTCCTCCCTTTGAACGTCTAAATAAAAGTTACAGACTAACCCTGACTTTGGTTTATGGACCCCTTTTATAAGTCCTTCCCCTGAACTCTCTCTTTCTCTCTCTCTCGGTCTTTGCTCTCGGGCAGTTTCCGTGCGGTGGTGGCAGCTGCAGCTACAGCCCGGTTCAAATGGTTATTGACAGGGAGGGTTTGGATTTGTGGCTGCACTTATCGCTAACATGGACTCCTCTGCCCCCGGGTCCCTCCTCTGCCTCTTCGCTCCTTCACCCCGCTCCCCGGCTCTCTCGTCTGTAGTCTACTCAAGACTCCATCTCTGTCTTCTTCTTTCATTTCATGTTTTTCTTCAAGATTTTGGTTAATAAATTTGGGCCTCGGTGATTGGAGGTTTTATATTACACGAAATGGATTCTTGTGAGATTTAAGTCGGAAGCGAAACACGACTCCAGGTTTGTTTTTGATGAGGAAACAACAACATAATATAGATCAAAAAATAACCTGATACGGGCGCTTTAAAGTGCGTGTATCGTTTGTTTATTTGTTTTTTTAAAATAAAACCCAAAATAAGACAATGAAAAAACAACTATTTTCTTTATTATTTGTCTTCAAAACCAAAAATGAAAAAACAGATATTGATTTGTTTTTTCAGTTTTCGTTGCTTAAACTGCGATGCCGGACTGAACCAGGACTGAACCAGGACTGAACCAGGACTGAACCAGGACTGAACTGAACCAGGACTGAACCAGGACTGAACCAGGACTGAACTGAACCAGGACTGAACCAGGACTGAACCAGGACTGAACCAGGACTGAACCAGGACTGAACCAGGACTGAACCAGGACTGAACCAGGACTGAATCAGGACTAAGTCAGAACTAACCCAGTCTCAGTCCTGATCTCAGACCTGTCTGGTCCCAGTCTCAGTCCCGGTTTCAGTCCCAATGTCAGTCTTGGTCTTGTTCCCGGTCTGGTCCCGGTCTCAGTCCTGGTCTCAGTCCTGGTCTGGTCCTGGACTGGTCCTGGACTGGTCCTTGTCTCAGTCGCAGTCTAAGTCCTGGTCTAAGTACTGGTCTGGTCCTAGTCTGGTCCTGATCTCACTCCTGGCCTCAGTCTTGGTCCTGGTTCCGGTCTGCTCCCGGTCTGGTCCTCGTCTGGTCCCGTTTTCAGTCCCGGTCTCAGTCTCGGTCCAGTCCCGGTCTGGTCCTAGTCTGGTCCCGGTCTCAGTCCTCATCTTAGTCCTGATCTGATCCTGGTCTGGTCCTGGTTTCAGTTGCGGTCTCAGTCCGGGTCTCAGTTCTGGTCTCAGTTTTGATCTGGCTCCGGTCTAGTCCCGGTCTCAGTCCCGGTCTCAGTCCCGGTCTCAGTCCCGGTCTGGTCCTAGTCTGGTCCTGGTCTGCTTCTGGTCTCAGTCCTGGTCTCAGTCCCGGTCTCAGTCCCGATCTCAGTCCTGGTCTGGTCCAGGTCTCAGTCCCAGTCTCAGTCACGGTCTCAGTCTCGGTCTGAGATCTGGTCTCAGTCCTGGTCTGGTCCTAGTCTCAGTCCTGTCTCAGTCCCGGTCTCAGTCCAGGTCTAAGTCCCGGTCTCAGTCCCGGTCTCAGTCCCGGTCTCAGTCCCGGTCTCAGGTCCGGTCTCAGTCCCCGGTCTAAGTCCCGGTCTAAGTCCCGGTAAGTCAGTCCCGGTCCAGGTCTGGTCCCCAAGTCTCAGTCCCGGTCATCTCAGTCCGGTCTCAGTCCTGGTCTGGTCCAGTCTCAGTCCCAGTCTCAGTCCCGGTCTCAGTCCGGTCTCAGTCAGTCTGGTCTTAGTCCGGGTTCAGTCACGGTCTCAGTCACGGTCTCAGTCACGGTCTCAGTCCGGTCTCAGTCCAGTCTCAGTCCAGGTCTAAGTCCCGGTCTAAGTCCCGGTCTAAGTCCCGGTCTAAGTCCCGGTCTAAGTCCCGGTCTAGTCCCGGTATCAGTCCCGGTATCAGTCCCGGTATCAGTCCCGGTCTCAGTCCTGGTCTGGTCCAGGTCTCGTTCCTGGTCCCACAAATTTTAATCCATTTTTAAAATACATCAAGTTTAAAATCTTCAAATCAAAGGCTGCACTTCATATTTTTTTATTTTATTATTATTTTATTAATGCACAATGTTTGTATATGTCACTGTGTTTTCCCCTAATTTATTATTAAAATATTCATTAAAAAGTTGATATTTTTCCAGATATTATCCAGTTCTTTTTCCTCACATCAGTTGTCTTTTGTTTTGTGTTTATCTGCAGGACAAGTTGAAGACCGGAGGCTAAGGAAACATTAACAAATCGCAAAAGTTTATTGTGTGGGATTTGTTATCACTCTGAACTGACAGGCGACCGGACAAGAGAAAATGAGTCAGCGGCAAAACACGGCATTTCCAAAACTCAGAGGACAACCACCACCGAGACGAAAGCTTAGAGAAAAAAAAAAAGTTTTATTTCCTGTGTTCTGTTTATTTCGGACAAATCATGGCCATCTGAAAATCTTAGAAATCTATTTTTACAATTAAGACGAAGTTTTAGTTTTTTTTCCCCATTGTTTTGAAGCTTGTCTATGCATTTTCCCACTGATATGTAAAAGTGTAACTGCGTCATCTTTGTGTTAATTTAAAAATGTTTTGGTGTGTTCCTCCAGACCAGCGCTTGTGGGACATCTGTCGGATCAAAAAGAAATAAAAGATTAAAGTGTGTGACTTGATTCTCCGCGTAAATATTCAACGGGCTCTTTAAAGTGATTGTGTAACTGTGTGTTTACTTTAGGCTTATTACAATAACAATATGTCTCTGTGTCTCTCTCTGTTTCTCTGTCTCTCTCTGTCTCGCTGTTTGTCTCTTTCTCTCTCTTTGTCTCTTTTTCCTCTCTCTCTTTCTCTCTGTCTCTCTTTCTTTCTCTCTGTGTCTCTCTCTCTGTCACTCAGTCTCTCTCTGCCTCGCTCTCTCTCTTTTTCTCTGTCTATCTGTGTGTCTCTCTCTCTCTCTCTCTCTGTTTCTCACTGTCTGTCTCTTTTTCTCTCTCTCTCTCTGTCTGTCTCTTTGTCTCTGTCTGTCTGTCTCTCTTTCTCTTTGTCTTTTTCTCCATCTCTCTCTCTCTCTCTCTCTCTGTCTGTCTGGCTTTCTCCGTCTCACTGTCTGTCTCTCCCTCTTTCTGTCACTCTGTCTGTTTCTCTCTCTCTATCTCTGTTTCTCTCCCTTTCTGTCTCTCTGTCTTTCTATCTGTCTCTCTCTCCCTGTGTCTGTGTCTCTGTCTCTCTGTCTTTCTCTTTGTTCTCCCTCTGTCTGTCTCTTTCTCTCCCTTTGTCTGTCCCTTTCTCTCTGTCTGTCTCTGTCTTGCTGTCTCTCTGTGTTTGTGTTTCTCTTTTTCTCTCTGTCTCTCTCTCTCTCTCTCTGTCCCTCTCTGTGTCTGTCTCTCTCTGTCTCTTTCGCTCTCTCTGTCTGTCTCTCT